CGTCATGTGGTGCTTCAAACTCCTTACTTGGTGTATTTACCTGCTGTCACATGTCACAACCAATAATCAGAGCAGAAACACTCTGAGGGAGATGAGCAAAGCCTTCAAACCAATACAGACCCAGCCTGCAGAAAGAACAATGGGATCTCTTTTCACTCACTCAGGCATACAGGGATGGAATAACAACTTTAGGGGTCAAGAAGTGAAGGGATCTTACAAAGTCCTACAGGAACGTAGCTCACAAAGGCACTTAATAGAAGCATGTACACAGCTGGATGGAATCAAAGATAGTAAAAATAAATAAATAAATGCACCAGAGAGGAGAGCACTGCCCAGTGACTGCCTAGACATAAAGAGCCTGGTTTCTGCAAGGGTCCATCTGTTCTCTGTATCCAAAGTTCACTCTTCTGATATCTCCAAAATGCCACACATAGGTACAAACCCAGGGATTCCTTAACCTTTGCAGGAACCAGTGCACTCTCTGAAGCTCAGCAGCAGGTTCCTCCTGATGCCAGTATTCACATCTAAGGGAAACTCAAGTTCTCAAAACCTTGTGCTCACTGTTTCCCACGGTGGAAAAAGGCAGCAGGCTCCTCCTCTCCCCACCTGGACATATGGCTTACGGCTTTCTGCATCCTATTGCTGGCTGACAGCATGTGAAGAACCATTCCACCGGGGAAAACATCTGCTATTGTCAGTGAGGGGATAGCCCACATAATGACCACGAGGAAATGCTGTGTGAGGAGTCCTGGTGGGAGGGGCTGCTCCCCTGCTAAACAAAGTCAGTGAGCCATGACATAACGCCATCTGCAGAAAGAGGGGTGTCACACGATGTCCTCGGCAGAGCGCTGTGGAGGAGAAGACCCGAGGCTCAGGAAGTGGCCCCAGTTGCACAGGAGTCCCCTGTTATACTGGCCAGTGTCTATCACTAACCCGCCCAGCAGCCTGTGCCCGGTGTTGTCCCGCAGAGCCAGCCGGGCTTCCCTCTCAGTCACGTTGTAGCTGATGTTCAACAGCTGGATAAGGAGGATGTATCCCATGCCAGCTGTTACAATGGCACAGTACCATACACAGGTGAACGACAGAGCAGAGCTGGCAGCAGGGAAAAAGATGGGAAGGAAGCCATTTAGTACTGGAGCAGCTGCTTTAAAGTGATTTTCCCTGGTAATCACTATCCTTTCAAATCCCTGTCTACATCTGCCACAGTGATCTCACTTTGCTGCTTTCATCAGATAATCCTTAAAGGCTTTCTCAAAATTAAAGCTTCAGGGTTTACTTAATGAGAGCTTTTACTGCAGAACTACTCTTGCACATTGCTGTCACACAAGCTAGCTCTTCACTCTTCCTGTTATAATGGTGCTCAGGTCTTATTTAAGGACCCCAGGATGCTCTCACTTTACAGGTCACGAGATGGAAAACAGAGTCACTTGAGTACTAGCAGTACTCTGCCCATCTGTGTCTCTGAACTCATGTCCAACAGCTCAACAGCTCCCACCACCTTCACTGCCAGACAGAGCATGCTCTAGGCAGATAACTTGGAGGACAGTCACTAGATAAATAGAAAGGAATGAGAGGGAGAGAAAGTGTGTGGGTTCCAGGCTGTCAGACCATTTACCTGCATTGGGGGGGGGGGGGGGGTGCATACATATTTAAAAGTACATCTATATATATAACACAATAAATACTTCAAATCCTAGCTCCTTCAGCTTTTTCCAAATAAATAGTGAGCTCTCTCCAAGTCTCAGGCTGCTCACCTTGGCAAAAGCAGAAATACATCTTTGCTTTCCAGAGTTTTTTAGGGAGTGCTTTGCATTCAGGTCTGACAGCCAGCAGAACAAGGAACAGTAACTAAGCCGCCTGAGCCAGCCTGCTCCCACCCCAGCTCTCTCCCAGACAGACATCTCACCTGTAGTCAGAATAGGCCCCGGGGCAGTAGAACAATGCCAAAAACGGAGTTCGGCCCCTACAGATGGTGTGCAGGGTCAAGGTAATCCCATACACAGAGGTGAGCATGAAGAAGGAAAGTGCAAGGATGAAAGCTTGATGGTTCTGCTCCCCTACGCAGCTGTTAATCCTCCAAAAGGAAAGAAAAGATTACTTTGCTTAAAAAAAAAAGAAAAGAAACTGTCTTCTATTTCTTCTCCCTCCCCCAGCTGTCAGAGAACCTGATTTCCAAGGTGCTTCCAGTTGACACAGGCTAAGAACATTGACAAATGTTTAAAGAATCTTTATAACTTCATACAGAAAGGTTACAAACACAAGACAATAGACCTGTAGGGTAACAGCAGCAGACTGTTTGCATTAATTTTTTAGTAGGGGTAGTATCGTTTGCTGAGACATGTTACACCTTACTGCCCCTTGGTTCCAGTACCACAGGCACACCCAAAAGGCAGCTCTGGGTTCCCTTGCCCCAGGAGAGCACTAATGCAACTGAACTGCAGGTTTGATAGTGCTCCACAGATCAAGTCTAAAGAAAAAAAAAACAAATTCAAGAAAATCCACACCAATAACAAACCCAAACTGATGAAAAGCAGTAGAGAAGTAAAAGCAACTCTGAAGTATGCTGCAGAAGCTTTCAGCCATCAGGTCAATCCACTTAGAATAAACAGTTATTCTAACTGTTCTTTTAAAGGATAAATAGAAAGCTTTTTGTAGTTAAAGAGTGTCATAAGGTGTTGCACACAGCAAAAGCAACTCTATCTGCTAGGGACTGTAAAAAAAGGCGCTTACTTTAAAAAGGAGGGACCTCGGAACACAGGGAGCCTGAGCAGTGCAAAACCTACCAGACACAGTGATGGTCCAGTCTCCTCACGCACCTGCCACAAAGCCGGCAGTGCCCTGCTCGGGCTGGCCTGACCAGCTGGCATTTAGTGCACCAGTCTTTTTTCACACCTGCTGGCTGCTCAGCTGACATCCTGCAATAACCTTTAGCCTCCCCATTCACAGCGCGACTGCTGGCAGCACCTGAGATGCCATGGAGTCCGCTGGAGCTCCCTCTAATACTCTCGTTGGGCGAACCCTGGTGTGATAGCTTCTCGTAGCCTGCTGGGATGGGAAGGTAGCCAGGGTCCTTCTTGGCTCGAGACAGGGCTGCAAGCATAAGAATTAACCCACACGTGAGAGTGACCACTTGAGAATACTCCACGCGGCCCCGGGGAACCACCTCCCGGAGAAACACATAGTACATATATCCCAAGGAGAAGAGCCCCAGGCTCAAGAAGAAGAGAGTCCGTTCTTTCCTCCGGTGGGTGAGGTAGTAATACCACAGCACCACGACGGGCAGGGACGTCAGAACGATGAGCCCCAGCAGGAAGTGCAGGGCGGCAACGTGAAGGAAGACGGGCAGCAGGACGAGCGGCGGCACGAGGCTGACGTTGATCTTGACGGCCCCCGAGAACCAGGGGACCCGCAGCCGGTCCGCGATGGTGTCGGCGATGCTCTGCAGCGCTCCCGGGGGCAGGGATTTGCACGTCAGCCACCTGCGAGCGCGGGGAGCACAGCGCCGGCTGGCACCGGGACAGCCGCGCTCCCGCCCCTGCCCCGTCCCGCTCCCGCCTCCCCTTTCCCTCTCTCCCGACAAGTTTCCCGGGAAGCGGGGCGCGGCTCCCCCGCCCTCAGGGCGGCGGTTCCGCAGGGACGCCGCCGCCGGGAGGGCGTCCCGCAGTCGGCGGCCCCCGGGGGTCGCGGAGCCGGTACCTGTCGCAGCCGTCGTCCAGCTCCTCGCAGTCGCAGCAGCACGCCGCCAGGTGGTTGCGCCGGCCGCGCCGGTCCACGTACTCGCAGCAGCAAAGCGGCTCCTCCATCGCCCCCGCCCGCCCCGTCCCTCCCGCGGGGCCGGGAGCGGCTCTCGCCGCCGCCGCCGCCTCAGGTGCCCCGCGCGCGCCACCGCCCCCGCCCCGCCCCCGCGCGGCGCCCGCCCGCCATTGGCCGCGCGCGCCCCGAGGTGTGCGGGGGGCGGTGCCCCCGCCCGGACCGTCCACCTGACGGCGGCGCGCGCCAATGGGCGCGCGGGGGGCGGCGCCGCCGTCAGGCGGGGGCACCTGCCTTAAAGGGGCCGCGCAACAGGTGGGGCCGCGGGGCTGGGGACCGCCGCCCCCGCTCGGCTCCACACCGAGCCTGCACCGCTCCCCGCCCTGCCCGACGGGCCGCGCACCGCCCGCGCCGCCGCCGCCCTCCTACGGGCTGCGCACCGCCTCCTACGGGCCGGCACCGCCCTCCTACGGGCTGCGCGCCGCCCTCCTACGGGCTGCGCGCCGCCCTCCTACGGGCTGCGCGCCGCCCTCCTACGGGCTGCGCGCCGCCCTCCTACGGGCTGCGCGCCGCCCTCCTACGGGCTGCGCGCCGCCCGGGCCGCCGCTGCTCTCCTCACACCGCCCAGCCTCGAGGGAGGGGGCAGTGCGTTTTCTTGGATTTTCTTTCTGTATTCATCTTTCCCTCAACCTGCTTGGGAAAACGCTTGAAGCACGCGAAAAGGAGTTTCATCATCAGTGGGCACACCACTGAAGCACAGCCCTTGATGGAGGGAAAACACCGAGGGCTGAAATTTCTCTGGGAAAGCTGGAAACACATGGCAGAAGGCAGCCTGCCAAAGCTTGCAGTATGCAAGAGATACCAAACCCTTTCCTGTTAATTAATCTTGGGCATATTCATCCTTAAGATGGTGACTTGTTTCACAAGGTCCTCATGGCTAAAAGGAGCCTATGAAGATCCTGTGGCTGTGAATCCACTAACGTTCTTTTTTCTCCAAAACACTCTTCACTGATGGTAATTTTCTATGTTGACATAACAATCTGCAATTTCATAAGAGACGAGCCCAGTTCTCTGCTGTGGGTGTTTTTCCCCCTCTGAAATGTTCAGATCCATTCACCAGCAGTACAGCTGCCCTCACTCACCCTGAGATGGGATCCAAGAGCTCTGCACTGTTTGGAATGGAGACTCCCCAGGGTAGAAGGCTGGCAGGAGAGACAGGACTGCAAAGCTATGGCAATGCAGAACCCAACTTACTTCTTCCACAAACCTTTATTCTGTGCAACAGTAAAGAGTCCAGAGGAGACAGTTACAGTCCCTACCCCACAAGTCCTCGCACACACGTGTTCTTCTGATGTCTTGAATGAAAAGCTGATGTGGCTATTAACTCTCAGTCTTGCTGCTCTGTGTCCTGTTCAAGTGGTCAAAGCTTCTTTGGAGCATGGAAAGGGAAATCTTCAGCTGTGAAGATACAATCCACCCCCCCACCAATTACTTAAGTCAGTCTCCTGCATGGGTGAGTGATATCAGGCAAATAAAGTCTCCCTCCTCCTTTTCTTTTGAAGATTTCATGTGATTTCCTCCTCCCTGTTTCTATAAGCAGTTGGCTTACTGTGCTCTCCTAACAGCTACACTCTGGAGTTTATAAATACTAACCATCCAGGATGATAAAGTCTTAACACCTCACCAGACAACAGCACAGTAGATAAACCACCCCACTCATTTTTAGTCACAGATAATGTTCAGTGTAAATACTCCAAGGAACATGGCAGCACAACATGAATTTTCTTTTACTACCTGGCTCTCCTAGTGCATTTTGGTGCATAAAACATGTTTAGATTATTGGCAATCCTCAAAAAACATAAGGTGGCAAGCATTAAGATGTGTCAGGACTTCCAGACAAAAAGTGTTATTCTGGATGAAAAAGGTGGCTAAATTCTCACTTTGTTTTTTTTTTTTTTTTACACTGTGTGTTCAAAAAAAAACTTAACACTTCAGCATTAGGAATTGTTTGGATAGTAAGCAGAGAAAATAAAAAGGGCTCTAAATTTTGTCTCTAAAGTGAAACTTCCGGCACTCAGGCTTTTTCAAGTTAGGATCAAAGTGGTTAATTAATAGATTAATGGTTAGTTGTGCATGCAGAGACACCCCTAAACAAGGAGTATAAAAAATGGCTTCTTTTTCTAATCTCCTTTAGTGCATGGAAGAACAAAGCAAATGATGGAGAAAGGTACATGTGAACTCCCCCTTGAGATTTCCTAAACTAATAATTCATTCCATCACATTGCAAGATATAATAATAAAAATTAAAATTAGAGCATTCCTGAGTAGTTACTATAAACTACAGCATGAATTTACTGTCCTTCAGGTAACTGAGTCGAAATTGCAGCCTAGGGATTGTAAGGATTTAACACTCCCGGACTTCAGGGTCAAAGAGACACAACAGTATTCAACATATCTCTTTTTGTGTGTGTGTGTGTCTGTAGTATACAAGAGCCTAAAATTTTAAGTTACTGTAAAGGAGGATTATCTTCTATGGAGCCTCTTAGAAACATATGGTCTGCAGAATTTATTTTTCACTGGAGATTAGGTGGCCCCTTGATACCAACACTAAGTGAAGCTCTTGCCAATATCTAGAAGAGTAGTGCTGAGCAAATGCCAGGATAAACCTGAATGAAGAAACCCCATAATAAGATGGAAAAACACTTCACAAATCTTAATAAGAGTGTTCTTATAAAAGGGAATCTGTTTTGAAATACTCCAGTCTTTGCTTTGTCATGATTCAGAATTGCATTAACACCTCTCTTAAGCACTTGACAAGTTTAAGAAAATTGACATGGGTACTTACATCTTAGTCAAATAAAAAAACCCAAACCAACAAAAACAAAACAAACCCACCCACAAACAAACAAACCAACCCAAACAAAAAGCAACCAACCAATAAAACCCCAACCCTCCAAGAAACAAATCCAAAACCAAAGCAACCCAAAACATCAGAAGCATAAGCACTGCCTATTAACTAAACTCAAGACTAGGGCAAAACACATCAAGAAAACTTTATCTAGCACCAGACTACATCAAACAAAAGCTATGATAATACAAGGGAGAAAACCCGAGTTGTTGAGAAACAAGAACATCATCAGGAAAGATTTTCAGACCTACCTGCTCAAGCATTTCAATTGAGTCTCTTAAAACTCCCTTCACATGCTTAACCTGCTCCTTATCATATTGAGGCATCTCCTCTTTTGATACAATTTCTGGGGATATGCTGAAAAAGATTTGAGATTACATCAGAAACATGAAACAAGCACCTTAATGCCTTTTTAAAAGCAACTGTTCTCTGCCACCATTGCTCAAAGCATCCTCTTACAAAAGCCACATACAAAGCTGCCTGCAGTTGAATTGCAATCCCTGTTTTCTTGAAGCTAGTACCTCAGACCTTTGCAGGCAACAGCCACCAAGAAAAACCTGTGCTCACATTATGTTTACAATGTGAGCACCACACTTCTGGGAGCAAGATCCTTCTTAGGAAGAAAGTTGCTCTAACCAGTTCTGAGATGGTCACTATGGGAGGTCCCCACACCCCTTCCACACTCAAAATCAGGATATGGTTTTTAACTTTTTTGTTGATACTGTATTCTAGAGGAAGCAACATTTTTCTGTGTCTGAGTACGAAAGTTTGTGAAGGAGAGGAGATTTAGGAGACTCACAGAGAGAAGCTAAAAAGCTAAATGAATCTTTAACATTCCATTTGAGAACATGCTGGTTCACACAGGATGTACACTTCAGTTCTGTGATCAGCACTATGATATTCACAGAGGATGAGTCACAGCAGGCTGATAAATGCAAAACTAAGGTTAACATTTATCCCAAAACATCCTGTCAAAGAAGAAATTTATTACCGCAAGATGCAGTCAGACATGTCACTGGATTTCAGCATAGACCACAGGAGTACAGCAAGCCCCAGCCACTTCTGAAAACTTGCCACTCAATTTCATTGTTAATAATTTATTTCTTTAGATCAGATTCTGACATAAGCTGAAGAAGAAAGCAAGCAAAGATTGTGAATTCAACTTACTTCAAAGAGCTTTCCTCCTGAAGCTGGACATGATAAAGGGACTGGGCTGCATGCTCTATCTTTGAGAGTTTGAGGAACAGTGTTATATTCAGCAAGACCAAGAGCAGCAAACTGTAGATAGAAGAGAAAAAAATCAAGTTTTGCAACAATTTCAGTTGCAGTGCTACAAACACAAGATCATAGCTAAAGACATCTAAGGAAACAAGTCCTCCCAGCATCCTGGGAGAAAAAAAAGGTGTAGGGCAGCACTATACTGAAAATTAATATCTATCTGAACAATTCTTAGCAGTTACCATTAAGCTGGGTAATGGCAAACAAATACCAGTATCTCTTCTTGGAACTTTTAAAATTTGGAATTAGTAGATGCTAGACTTTATTTTTTAATAGGATCAGACCTAAGAAAACCCGTAAGGTAGACTAGTTTGACAAGTCAGCATTTTCATTCTGCATGTCATTTCCAAGTCAATCCATTCCCCTTTCAAACCCACATGTTCCACTCAAATTAGTTTATCATGCTACATGTAATCTTAACATGCAAATGAGGAACAAATACAGACAAAAACCAAGATGAGCTTGGCCAAGCAACACTTTAATGCAAGTGAGTACTTACAAGACACTCATTACTACAATGATGGTGGTGGTCCTACTTACTGCATCTCTTTTCCTTCCTATAGGGCATAGAAGAGAAGGAGGTTAAAAAGTACTAAAGAACATTCCTAAAGGATTTCTGCAGATAGATACATGTCAATGCACAGCACTTCACACATTAAAGTTGAATAGCCTGAGAAGGTTGCAGTCCATCTATTACTAACAGCAGACAGGTGTGGCTCTCTCTCCTGCTTGTGCTCCTCCTCACATTTATCTTTCTGACAACCAATGTCAGTCACATTTTCCTGTAACTTGTCCCATCCCTACTTGGTTTATCTATTGTCTTGAAAACAGCCCTGCAAGAGGCCATCTGCTATGCAGAAGGCAACAGGGATCAGACACTGAGGGGCAGAGTGTGCATGTTCTCTCCAAACTGAGCAGTTATATCACTGTGGGCACACTGATCTTTAAATATAATTAATTTTGCACATCCTGCCCTGCACAAAAGACATACAAAAGCTGTTGTGTACACACAGACATGCTCATCTGAAAAGGTGGCGCAACAGTAGCAAAATTAAGTCATTAGGAAGTAATGTCACATAGGTAAAGAGTCCTTTACACATGCTGCTGATTCAAATATTCTCAGTGCTATCTATACTCAGTGTTGTCTCCTTCTTTAGGCAAGTGTACTTGCTCCTACCTCACTGTTTACAATTCAAATTCTGTCATGGAATCTACTATTCCCTGGTGCAAACTAGTGCACAGATGCTCCTACTCTCTCCAGGTGAAACTAACATTGTATATGCTGATGGCCAAGTCTGTTGTGCCTAAGGGCAGTAGAACTGCAAGAAATGCTTCACTGACCCAGAAATTACAGAAGCATATGAAACAGACTTCTTAACTTTAAGAATCAATAACCAAAGCTGAGATGACAGGGCCAAGAGGCAAGTGGTAAAGTTCAATCAACTCATGACCTGTGTGTGCAGTTATTTGGAGAAAAAAAATTTTCAAAAACTTTACAAGAATCAGTTTTTTTTCTCCTGATCCAATCTCATTTTCAAACCTTTGCAGATGCAGAGCAGTATTCAAGATTTTGGATGATTTTTGTTTGCTTTAAAATTGAAGGTGATATTAGCCTTCATTTCAAGAGATACTCATGCTAAAAATGATCATGCATGCTCCAAATATATTTTATACAAGCTTGAAGAAGCTTGAACTTGTTAAAGCATTTGCTATCACAGACAAGAGCAATATATATACAAGTGCTACTCTTGCACTATTTTAAGACTTATACTTTCTTGAAAACACTTGATATAAAAAAATCCTACCTATTAAGCTGCCCTGGGATTCTACTCCCATGTCACCAGAGGAATGTTGGGAAGAGCGTTTGGGAAGTGGTTCTGCCAAACCCCGGTGTAAAGTGCGTCGCCTTCGTCTCAAAGCAAGTAATTTCCCAGAGTCTTCTATGGATTGATTAATTGCATATTCCTCCATAAGGAGATCTGATTCTACAGTGGAAAAAAAAAAGTTACCAAACTGTCAAAAACAAAGCTGAAGACAAATTGTGAGATATTCAAGGTGGCAATGAGAGGAACAAACACACCTTCCAGTACATGAACTGGAAGCAGGTAACTGGCAAACTACACCCTGACCTCCACCCCTGTTCTATTTTCTAGAGGGCACTTGGAACACTCTGCAGAGGTGGTACACACTCAGCCCAGGCAGGATTGTTCAATGCTATGCCAGACAGCAGTTGGAAGAGCACTGCAAGACGCTGTTAGACTGAGGCTAGAAATTGTGTTAGACTCTGAGGCTGCAGCAGTGGCTGGCCAGGCTGTGAACAGACATTCATGGAGCCTGCCAAGTGCCACTGCTTCTCTTCTCATATGCACAGTCAAGGAAATTCTTAGAGATAAGCAGATGCAGTTAAGAATAACAGCTTTCCTGCTGCTCCTTGTGTTTCCTTCTGAAAGCCATTATGGCCAGGTATACAAGAGCCCCTTGTTAGCCACAAGGCTTCTTTCATACCCTGGAACTGGCAGATACATTGATGACAGGAAATTCTGTCTTTAAGACTGCTTAGGTGCTGCCTTTATTTCAAGCCATTCTTCTAGGAGCCAGGTTTGAGAGACACAAAAACATACATAGCAAAGGTAGCCTGCTTAGTCCAGCACAAAGAAAAAAAATGCCTCACCAAGTTGTTTGAAGTTTTCCTGTATTCCTCCCCAGGTATTCTTCTCAATTACAGACTTGACAAGGCCCCAAGGCTGTTTTTTGTACTTCACTTCTGCAGAAACCCTAGAAAACAGAATGCAATAATGGAAAAATACTCTTAAAAGCAGCACAGTGATAGCAGAAGCCTCTTATCAGAAGCACCCTCCAGTTTATGTCTAAAATCTGCATTACTAACTGGAACTGCCATTGCTCTCCAGTTGGGCAGCACTTTCATTGAAAAATGGAAGAGACAGACAGTAGCAAAGACATCTCTAGCTAAAGCATTAAAATCTAAATGTCCAAAGTATGGGAAACATTTTGGAATGTTTTCCTTGAGACTCAGACTACCAGATGATTTCCACCCTCTTAAGCATTCTCATTTTAACACACATTTAAAAGGCTTCCAGATAATAAAGTCATAATTTTTACTTTGTATGTGTACACATGATATATTACATGGGCACTACAATAGCAGAAGGTGAAATTCTTTATCACAACTCATACATCAAGTGCTCACATCCTACCCTGAATAGACAGAAATCTATCTTTCCATGAGCATGACAGAGGGGGAAATGACATTCCTACTGTGCATTACTTGCATTCCTCAGGTAAAGCTAATCAATACTGCTTCCAGAATAAAAATGAATTGGACTAGAATCCTTCAGAGGCATGCTTGTAACTGAGCAAATCCCAAAGCTGTTCATAAAGGAAAGAGTCCTTGATTTCAGTCAAGAAGACCATCCTAGAATACACTTTTTTCAACTTAAGTAATCCTCCAAATCAGTTTAAGCCCACTGTGTATGGTATAACAAAACTCCTTTCAAAGAGAGTTTCCGAGCCATTTTAAACACAGTTTAGTAAGGCCAGCTGTAACATCACCACGTGCTTTCTGTTCTATACATGTGTGCTCTGTGCACCATGTGGACGTAGGTTTTTGCTCTTATCCTAGGGCTGTCACATGTCTCAGAAAAAACAAGTCTAGGTCTCAAAGAAAAATAATGATTCACTCAAAAAAAAATCCAAAGCAGTCTTTCAAGGACCTTCCTTCTGTTCTCCCAGTAGAGAGGGAGTTTTTTATAGTTTCACTGCCTGAGATTAGCCAAAGAGAATCCAGTCTTGCTAACCTTTCCTGAGTACTGATTAAGTTTGAGAAAAAAGCTCTTACTAAAGACAGTACCACTTACAATGTTTTCAACAAATGGGAGAGGAAATTCCGTATCTAGATAGAGTTCATTTGAGTACCCTCCTTGCAAAATTAAGTACATTCTATCTTCCCTGCACATTCCTGTGAAACCATTCTCCTCTACAGGCCCTTAGCAAGGATGTCTGGGAAACCTTCTAATAAAGCATCTCAATTTTTTTCCAATTTCTCCCACTCGCACAGCTGCACTCAAGAACACAAGGCTGGTCAGGACCCAGTTCAGTCTCGTAGACGAGTTCCATACCTCAGAGTCACATCTCGGTTAATTTCTCACTGTATTAATGAGATCCAAGCACAGCATACATGTGACAAGAGATAAATTAAGCTTATTTTTCAGAAGAGAACCTAACATTCTCTGTGCTGCTGGCAGATCTTTAAGTGATCATCAACTCAGAACATCCCTGCCCTGGCTTCTACCCTGCCCCCGTGCAGCACATAGGCTCACCGTAAGCGGCACTTGTGACTGGATGTGCGGCTGATGCAGTATCTGTTCACAGTGTAGAAATAATCATGGTAGGGCACGTCATGGGTCAGCACCTCAGCATCCACCTGGTAAGACTGACCTTTCTGGCTCTGCTTATGGAGGATCTATCAAAAAAGAAAATAAAATTAAGAAGGTATATTCATGGTACACAAATTTCTCCTCCCTTCCCCGCCCTTTCAGCCTGAGTTCCTTAGGCTGGATCAAACAACTCCAAGTGAACTCAAGGAGAGAGAAAGCCTGAAGAACCACCATAAATACCAGTTAAGAACATCAAATATAGGTGGGGTGGGAAAAGAGAAGATGCTTCCTGCTAGAGCCAACATTGGCAGCATCAGGACTTCCCAACTGCCACCTCAAATACCAGATACAAGGCTGGCCATTGCCTCATGACCAGCTTTTCTTTGACATCTTTCCCAAAGCATAACTACAAAAGGGTTGAGACTGGAAGGCACCTCTGGTGCTTGTCTTGTCCAAGAACTCAGGCAGGACTATCTAGAGCTGGTTGCCCAGGACCATGTCCAGGTGGGTTTCCAATGCCTCCAAGGAAGAAGGAGGTACCCAATCTCTATGGACAACCTATTCCACTGCTCAGTCACCCTCACAGTGGAAAAGTGTTTCCTGATGTTGAGAAGGAATCATTTGTGTTTCAGTTTGTGTCCATCACCTCTGCTCCTGTCACTGGGCACCACTGAAATCTGTGGCCTTACTCAGAATTTTCTGCACCCTCCTTCAGATGCTTCTATAAATTTTAAGATGCCCCTCAGTCTTCTTTTCTCTGGGCTTAATATTCCCAGCTCTCAGCCATTGCTCATATGGGATGCTCCAATCCCTTCATCATCTTAGTGGCCCTTTGTTAGGCTCTTCACCTCTCATACTGGGGAGGCCAGAAGTGGACATTGAAAGCTTTTAATTGTGCCTTTTCACCCCCCAGTTCCTAAGAGATGTTAATACTTTTCCCCACAAGTTTCATGGGAGTTTACAGCCATCTGTAAAGGTAGAAAGCCTCTCTCATTTAATAAGCATTGGCTCAGTAATGGCCCAGTAATGCTTTAAGCTGCAGATGCACATTCAGTTCACAGAACTCTGACAGACCATAGAACTGACCTGTCCCTAGCTTTAAAGGGCACCAGACAGACACACATACATGCACACAGTACCTGCTTTTCAGTTGCAGTTGTGAACTTCCCACAGAGCGGATTGTTAATCGTTACAGTGTACGTCAAAGTCCTCAACTGATTGCCATTGGAGTCTCTATTCCAAGGGGTTGATACAGCATCTAGATGAGAAGTATGCAAAATCTCACATAAAAATTACCTGTCTTATCATGTCTTGAGAGTTTGAGAGCAGGAGTTTGAGAGCAGGAAAGACAGAAAACTGTTTCCAGTTAATTGTGGGGTTTTTCCAGGAATAACCATACCCATGTAGTTTGCTAATAAACAAAGGTGAGGCTCTGAATAGCTGAGCCTGAATCTACTGAAATAGGGTGGAGAAAAGAGTAAGCAATTAAATGAAAATATGCCATTTCCCATTTGCTTATAGTCGAATAGGTTCACTTAGCATTATCAAGAGCTTTTGCCACATTGCCTTCCCAGCTGACACTGAATAAATATTACCTTTTTGACTTGATTTTCTGTTCTTACAGTCTCAGTGAATAAAATTTACTCATCCAGAAAATTAAAGCCTCTGAGTATCATTTAGGAGGATGCAGTGATTTTTGCCTGTGTACCAGCCATAGAAATTTCACTGTTTCTGGGACACAATGTAATCAGAAATATGCTAGAATGCATCAATTTTGAGTATTTAACCTACTCAAAATTCAGGCATTAAGATGTAGTTTTGTGGTGCACTGAAATGAGGTTCTTACTCCAAAATGTGCATACCTAGGGAAACAATAGTCTAGCTTTAAATATTCTCTTTCATAGTGAAACTTTAAAGCTTTAAAATTCTTTTAAAGCAAGGAAAAACTTAAAATTCAACTTAGTCCTATTTAGCAACTGTCAGAGGTAAAAATTTTCAGGGTAGCTTGTAACAGGCAGAAGGGTGAAGAGTTTATTACCTACTATACTCCTGGAATTAAGAAACCTCTGCATGAAGTGAGAATTGGTGAAAAGGATTTCAAACATCTTGTCTGCAGTGATGTGGAAAACTCTGTTTATAAAAAGTCTCCCATAGAGATCATTGTCAGAGACGGTCTCCTTCACTGCTAAGAAAGACAGAGATCAGGTTAAGAACAGTATTATGCATAACCTTGATAGCATTCTAGGCTTTATTACAGCTTAAATCTTTCCCAAGCTTGCATCAGCATTTGTTTCTCACTCTCAGAAACACAGTAAGGGTAGCAGCAAATGGTTTGGTAGGTAGGTTGCTTTCAAGAACAAAGTCCAGAGCTGATTCTCAAATACACACCCCTACCACCACTTTTCTGTGTCAATTGATAAATTAACAGCAAAAGGTACCTTCCCTTTAATTCTGCCTTCAGTATTTTACTAATCCTGCAAGAAACACTGGGGAAAGAGCTAGCATAATATTCATTAATACATGTGTCTATTGTACAACGGGCAAGAAAGAAGGACAGTAAAACCATAACAGTTTTCTTCTTGTGTCTGGTTTCAGAATTCTGCTTTTAACACTTGTAATACTGGCAAGGCCCACAGTCTAAGGGACCAGGTAGACTCCCAAACAGTTCTTCACTCCATACTTATTGTACAGGAACACAAGGGATACCCTGCTCCATTTTGCAGTCCCCAAAAATGCACACAGAGGCTTAAATGCCATCATCTATTTCAAAGCCACTGAGCACCTCAGTGGCATTCTGTGGCTGCAGCACAGATCTTTGCTATTTCTGCTTCTTGGTGGTTGCTGGCATGACTCAGCTTTGTGGTTTTCTCAGGCACACTGGCAAGAGATAAGGGATAGAACGATAATCCTGGAGGGCAAGCAGTTTCCTGTGCCAATCTCGACTCAATCTGCTTATGCTTTAGAAACAAATCAATCCTAAACTATAATTACCAGCAAGACAAACAAGCACCACCCCCCCCCCCCCCCAGCACCACTAAAATGAAACAAGCAGCCCAAAAGCAAATCTTGCAGCAGGCAGACACAAGTCAGGATGGCCAACCTTTCAAATGATACAAATGAATGCTCAGGGCTAGGAAAGGTCAGTGCCAGCCACGAATGCAAAGGGAGACTGAATATCACACTGTAGTTCACAACCTGCCTGCCGGCTAAGGTTACAGCACTTAAAACATTACTGGCTTGGTAGCAGTCAGTATTGATAAGGCAAATGCACCAACTGAACAACCACAGCAGTCCCCAAGGAAACCCAGTCCCGTATGAGCAGACTCTCTCTCTAGTGCTGCTCCTAGCCTGCTAGAAGCCTGTTAGAACATCTGCCTCCAAAAAAGCTCTCCTTGATCTCATCAGGCTTCAGAGTAGGACCCCAAAAATGAAGTGTGAGTGCTGTATTTTTGTACTTGCAGAGATTGACTTCCTCTCCACGCTGTGTTCTGCTTATGCAATTGTAATTCCACACAATTATGAGATGGGACAGAAAGCAAACACACATTTCAAGAGGCCTATTTAATCAGTCAATACACAGTCATTACACATAGAATATTAATTCTGTTGTGCTGAAACATTCTGCAGGAAGCCAGAAATTCAGCCTGAGTTTTCTGCTTATGCTCACTGTATTTTCTCTCCTAATGAATCTAACAAAAGGCAGGCCAAGTGAACTGTAAGTTTGATCTAATTAAACAAGACCTCAACATTACAGATCTCTCCTTTCAGAGCGCACTCCCCACATCCTCTCTTTTGCTAAGAGACAGGAAGTTTCAATTACTGATTCTAACATTCCCCCTGCCTACTGTGCATCAGCTAGCATGGCATCAGCTACCAGGCAATTCAAACCTAGTTACTGTGGTTGAGTGCTACTCAGCTGGACATTGACATGCCCAAGGAATCTGCTACCACTTAAAAAAAAAAAAAATAAAGACACCCAGACACATGATCAAGCCACCAGATAAGCATCAGATCAGCTTTGTCAGCTATTTGTATATGTCTTAGCAAACACACGGTAACGCAAGTTACCTCTGCCCCAGGGAGCCTGAGCTAAACAACTCAACTTCATGTTCACCTGAAATGCCTGAAGACAGCTACTATTTCTTTGCTGATGCAAAGTAATTTGGTAAGCCAGGGCAACTTATGATATTTACAAAGCCCATGCTTTATTACCTTAACATGCAGATCTTGCTACTAAGCTCTATTACTCTGAGTCTGTCCTCTTTCTAGTGAGTCTGAAGAAAAAGCACCCACAGGTCTATACAAAACTTCCCATAAATTAATTTGTCTACACTAGCTCTATATGGTCATGTCTCTAATAAGGAGTAGTCAATGAAGTGTCAAGTGTACGAGTATCTATTGAGAAATATGTTTTCTGCTTACAATCCTTCTCAGCTCTTGGAAGAAACAAAGGGTTTTTTTGTTGTTAGCACATGCAGCAGTATGTGTTAGCATACTGCATATACAGCAATAATCAGAAAATCAAAGCTAAACCTGGGTTTACATATCAGGCCCATCAGCTATTTTAGATGCTAGGATTCAAACAGCTGCTCTCCAGAAAAACTGTAAAGTCTTTGGACAATGGGTCTGGAAGATGCATGTGTGTATAAACTCTGCAAGTTCCACATTTGTGGAACCAAGTCGCAGGGATACACCAAGAGCTTGACAAGCTTCAAGTCACTTCCATCCGGGCTTCTTAAAATTTATCTGTAGAAATCCCAAATTTCTACAGATAAATTTTGTAGTGACCACAAACAGTAGCATAGCAATAAATAAGCACACAGTTTATACACTTGCAATTCAGACAACAAGCAGCTTTAACCACTTATCTCTGCTACAAGTGAAGATGCATGTTTGTCTAGTGTTTCATTTTACACAGATAAACTTGTATCTGCCTTTGTTTTTCACAACAGCAGGGCAACATAAAGCATTTTACCCAAGACTGGCTTCAAATGCTCTTTATTAACAAAATGTTTCATGTAAATACAGAGATATCAGTTTAAGTCCTTCACTTTCAGTGCTGTTCTAACCCCTCAGCAGCATACACTTATCAACACCAACTTTCTTAACCTGAATACATTTATAGCTGAATTGGAGCTGTCTGCTAAAAGAACATGAGATTATTCTGACTTTAGGTAAAGATCCCTAGGGACCCAAAAACACAGAGATAAACACATTACCCCGAGTGTTCTGGTTCAGCCTAACAACAGCAGGTCTATTCTCTCCCCCAGTACTGCCTTGCACTTCCTAAGGTCATTTTCATCACTGCAAGGCAAGCTGTGAAATAATGTTTGAATATAATACCATTATGCAGCAGAGATGGCGGAGGCTTAAAGACATCTGCAGTGCAAAAAAGAGAGACAAAAAATGGAAAGGGGTGGAAGAGGCAGCAAGAAAAACATTGTTATTAAAATTCCCCTCAACAACCAACAGCAAAAAGCTAACCACATACCATAAGCAAATTAAGAAAGCTGAACCAGTAAGAGCAGAGGCTATCAAACAAATTAGTAAGAAGGTTGATTTTTTCCACTCCACAGAGATGGGGGAGGATCAGGATTTTTAAAAAGTATGTATGCAAATCTTAGCACTGTTGGACGTTTCTATATTGCTGGGGATGGGGAAAAATTACAGGCTGCATGAAAGATATGTAAGTAGAAGCTTTTAACCAAATACCTGAAATCAAGTGAATAAAACCAGTTCCTGGAACTAAACACATTCCAGACATCATCTATTTAAAGACTGTATCAGCAGTATTAACCATTTTCAGAGAACTCTCCTATATTTTAAGTACAGAATTATCTTGGGGAGCTACTAAGTATTGTCATAATGCTAGCTTTTTCCAGTTCACAAGATAAAAAATCCCCACCACGTTTTGCCTTCAGGTGACTTAAACATATATCCTCCAAACACCAAGGTATATATTTTTTTTTAATTTATTTTTTATAATTTATTTTTTCAACAAAATATATCCTTTTAGTATTTTCATTAAAATGCCAATAAGATAACAGGACTGCTCTTCCTTACATACAATGTATATCCAAAATGTTTTACTGGGGGAAAGAGGGGTACAACTAACACAGGGCTGAACCTAATTCCAACTGTCCTGTACTTCAAACATTGTATGGCCCATATGCCACTATCTGCAAGCAATAAAGCCTCTGCTGTGGCCATTGTGCAGCACCACAGTGCAGGCAGTTATGCTCTCCCGCAGATCACATTTAAGGTGGCTATTAGTACACACTAATAACCACCAGTAAGTCTGTCATGTTACACAAGAAGAACAGAAATGTGTGATCTCCCTGTATACAGTAGAGCCTTCTAGCAAAAAATACTGTTTTCCCTATATCCTGCTTCCCCCTTCTTTCTTTGAAGTATTTAATGTTGCTGAACATGGTCATTGAAGACAGACGAACAAACTACCCTATATATTAAAGAGCTTTGAGGAAATTATAAAGATCTCTTGGCCCTGTGTTGGAAAAATGTATTTATGCTTGAACTAAAATCTGTTTTCTGAAATTTAGAATTAAGGCCACAGATATTAATGTTTAGCTTAGCTAAAAGGTTGTCATGGCTCAGAATTTATACTGATTTATGGAACTGGACAAAAACACCAAGATGCAGGTCAATAGGCCAGTGGTGCACAGTGGGATGCAGACCCCCCATCCCCAAGGTGAGAACTGCTTAGGACAAGGGAATTAATGTTGTGAAGAACAACAGTCTTGAGCTTGCCCCTCACCTTATTTGCCAGGACACCTCCTTGGGCAGCCTGAGTATGAGCCAGAGGACACAAGAGAAATTATTCACATGGGTAAACCTTTGCCATGTAGGAAAGGTAGTTTCATTTGCATGAAGGAATTCACCTTGTAAGAGTGTGGGGTAACTGCAACAGAAAGCAGACAGAGAAATAGAAGAAAAAAATTCTAAGCATGAAGATTCTGAGAGAAAAGATTAATGTTGTGAGTCTAGAAAATCCTGCTCTGAATTAAAAAAAGACTAGTCTTGGGGAGGGAAAAGAAATAAGAAAGGCAGTATGAAGTCAGTGGTCTTCTTATTAAAGAGATATCTCCAGTTTAATATGCTCTATTTATTCAACATCACTAATTCAGGCATTACAGGGAATATTTACTGCTATTGTTTAGGCAACTAGCAGCAGGAAAGACAACAGGACTACTTTTTAATCAGTTTCACAGGAGACCTTTGCCATAAAAAATAAAATACAGAGACAGAAGAGAGATATAGCAATAGGAAGATAGGAAAGCTGCAAAATATCTAAAACATCCACAGGCAAGACCTTTCTGTTGCTCTAAGCGATACACCAGCGAAAGAGTAAATTAATTTGTGAAGCTTGTTAAGTGTGTAGGAGAATGTTCTGTTTAAGTAGGTATATTCACAAAAATGATAATGACATGCATTGAGTTGAATCTGAACTCAAGCCAACACAGAAACAGTATGGGGGAACAACAGCAAAGTTAATTTAATATAAGCATATCCCCAGACAAAACTCACAACTTGAAGGCAGCCAACTCAATCAATAATTCTGAAAGCTTTCCTATACACCTCAACAATCACCCCCATAATGACACCTGCAAACAACTTCAGTTGTCAACTCTGAAACTACAAGACACAAAATTTCTTAGCGAGATTAAGAACTGCCTTCAATTAACTAAACTGTTCTATTCCTGCCAACAAGTGATGAAGTAAGTTCTCTTTGCACATGAAAGAAATACACAGCTGCTACTGAGCACAGTATTACTGTTGGGGTTTTCTGTCTTTTATTTTCTCCCCACCATATAACCTTGGAACCAATATACGTTGTGCACACTTCACTTTAAAGGCATTTACAGAATCCAAGATTCAGATATTACAGAATATCCACCAAAGTTCAGTGATCAGTCTGAACAACTACAGCCCTTTGGCACAGAAAACCTCCTCAGGGTAAGTGAAAATCTCACCACAGAAAAATGAGAACTTGTCAGGGACATCTGTGGGACCACAGGACAAGCACTGACAGACCTTGGCACAAGTCTCTCATCAAGGCACTCGAGTTTCTTCTATCTTGTATTGGGTAATGAGATATGAGTTATGAGGTTTGTGTATTAGGATCCATTAAGATCCTGTTAGCACAGAGAGTGAAAGTTGCTGCAAGATATCCATTCAGGTTTTTCATCTTCAGATCATATTCAGAATATGCACAATGCTCTCCTGAAACCCTGGGCTTTCAGTAAGTTCCTCAGCTTACTCCACCAATAACAATGAAGCCCATAAGCCTTAAGATAGTGTAAGTGTAAAGAAGGGGGGTTGGGGGAATCTTTCAGAAACTTAAATACAGCCTGAAATGTTTCCCCTCAGTTTCCAAGAAACACAAACAAAGGAAAGAAACATCTTTGAAATTAGCACCACCCCATTGTCAATAAACATTTAGTTGAAGCTGTTGGCAACTCTCTACCCACCAAAAGAGAAAGAAAACCACAATTTCTTTGTTTTCATTCTAAACACCCAACAACTTTTTTTTTTTTCCCCCACAGAAACAAAGAAAAAAAAATGCTTTTGCTGCAATTCTGTGAAGCAAATAAGCAAACAAGTTTCATAAGATCAGAAAGTTCTCTAACTTTCTCTGCAAGTGAGATGGAACACCAAAGTCATATTGTCTTACAGAACCCAACTGTTAAGAGATTTACCTTCTTCACTATCTGAAGCACTGCTCTTCTCTGGAAGATTTTCATTCTCATTAAGGTCCAATGACTTTTCTAAAGATCTGCTCCTAACTAGCTTAGCAGGTTTTCTTTCTGAAGATGGAAGAGGACTCTTTATTTGCTTCTCACTTGAGGACTCCACCTGAAACAACCAAGAGCAGAAAAAAAAAAAAAAAAAGAGAAAGTTGCTCTAAAAGAAGACAGCCATACAAAGTTAGCCACAAGTTCTATCTGCTCAATTACCACACAGTCAAGCATTCATTTCCCCCTTGTTCCTCTACCCCAGCCAACCTCTCTTCCCTTTATTTAAATATTTTACTAAACTCTGGTAACAAGAAACAGACTTACTTGTATGTAGTGTTGGTACCAAGAGCTCCCTTAAATGGGACAGACCCCTTGCACCCATCTGCACAGTTTGGGCCCCTTCCCTGCTTCGACATTAGCATTTATAAATTCATTAACCTTACACAGATTTACTTTACATTCATCAGGTTCATTTTTTTCCTAACAGTTTGGCAAGGGTCCAACAACCCAGAGGGGAAGCACAATGAAAAGGCAGGGTGCCGCTCTCTTTCAGCAAGATTAAATTACCCCAATTACATATTTGAAAAGTTCTTATTTTATACTATGCCATCACCCTTTGAAAAAAGTTTTAAAATACTGTCTAGAGCGATCCTACTTAAAAAATATTACTTCTCACAAACAAAGCAATGGAGTATCATTTGCCATCTCCAATATATAAGCAGGAAGGAAGTCCCTCTGAACATCAGCCACTGAATCAATGATGCAGCTCTTAACCTTCAACAAAAACTGTCAGCTAAGCATGTATGCCATTGCACACTTGAAGAAGTAAATCTCCAGGGAAACTGTATGGACAAAGTTTGTGTATATAAAAATGTCACCCAAAAACTCTGGCTACCAGCTTTGAATCAGATTTTATTCTAAACCTCTCCTCAAGGCCCCACTGCCACCAGTGGAACATCTGGGATCAAGAGCAGCACAGCCCCAGAAGAGGAGTGTCTGTACCATAGTTAACATGATCAGGCCTCTTCAACGGGTTGTTCTGATTCATCTGCAAAACCATCATCCCCTAAAGATTATTTAGCATTGACTCCAGAAAGCAAAAGCATCCACTCCTTGAACAGTCATCATGTATACTTCCTGTACTTCTTGTACTTCTTTTTAAAAAATAAAAACCTGTTACTTTTCTTGTGCAGCCAAGGGCTATCAGGTGGTGGTTGGCTGGAAAACAGAGACAGGCATAAATCTGACTGCAGTACAAGCAGACAAAAGTATTCCTTCAGGGTCAAAAAATTATAAAGGAAGACTGAATCAGAAAAACAGTTAACAAATGCTCCTATTGAGAGAAGCTGCCATGTAAGTTATACTCAGTCACATAACAGGATCTAGGACAGAACCAACATTAACTGTCAAAATACCAATACAGATGGAAGTCCAAAAGGAGTTAGTTGTGACAGAAAAGCCCAAAAATTGACACACTGATCCAGCACAAACCCAAGGAACTCTCATAGCATTCTGACAGCAATCAGGATCTAGTGGAAGCAGGGTTCCCACCAGCAGCATAAGAGCAGCTCACTATGCCATGAGCAGAGCAGGAAAGCCAGGCTCAACTCAGAAGGCAAAAGCAACAGTTCCTAGAAAAAAAATGCTTTTCATGTTGTCATTGAAGAAGAAATTCAAGATGGAGCTTTTGTAATAACTGATCACATTAAACACAGATTTAATGGAGTTTTGGGTTGGTTTGTGGTTTTTTTTCCACACTAAAGAGTAAAGATTGTAAGATCTGTCAGCTGAAATTAAAGATGTATAATTTATTCCCTATTGTGCATTTATCTCTTGAGCTAGTCCAGTAGTGCTAAGTTCTGTGCCAAGGGTTTTTTTTGGTTTTCAGCCTGTGAACAAGATCTGTGAGTGGAAGGCTGCCCTACAAGGGGAGGAAGGAAGATGATGGTTGCAAAAACAGGCAACAAGGTGGCTCCCACATTCATGTGTACTGAGAGGGCAGATGAGCCACACAGAATTGCCTCAATCAACTACAGACAACCATTGACAATATTTTTTTCAAGATGGGCCAAATACTAGACCCAAGCCCTCCACTATTCAGATCTTCCTCTTATGAGAGCTTTGGGCCTTACTTTTTCTACTAGAGCAAAGGGGAGTCTAAGCCTGTTGCCCTCCAGTCTTGGGAAGGTGGTTAAGTGTGCTTTGTGTCATCACTGTGATGACTTCTGATAAATACATTCTAAGCACTACTGCCTCCTCCTACTGCCTTTGTGGTTCCACAAAATATGCTGCAATCCTGGGCCTGTGGAGAGAGCATGGATATTCTTGAGTAATGCCAAGTGACACATACAGCTAAACAAAATCGCTGTGCATTTTAGTTACCCTGAAACAGTAAACTTATCAGTGTAGTTACACATTTATCAAGACTGAACTTTTACACTAGAATTAAAAGACTTTTCAGAGGCAGTTTATTCAAGGCAGAATCCTGGCATTTTTACAGACCAAATCCCCAGGCATTCCTCCTTACCAAGATGCCAAATTAGATTTAGCACCTGCAAGAGACATCTTGGGGTGTGGCTTCTTTTCCAGGCACAGCAATTTTTAAATGGCTTGTTCTTGCGTAAATAAGACTTACAAGTGCAAACTAAGGCTATCTGTGTAGATTTTTAGTTATCCCAAACAGTCCAAATTCCAGCAGCATTCGCAGTCCTCTCAGGCCTCCCTTACAACTCTCTAAAAATCTTGTTTTATACTGCTAGGAATACCTATCACTCAAGCAACTATGTTTTTAACCTCTGAGAAACACCAATATTCTTTGCTGGATATGAGTCTCTAGCCATTAGCTTGGATTTTGGCAAAACTATTTAAATTATACTTAACCTCCAGATCAGTTTTAGCAAGTGACAAAAGCCACAAGATTTACAGCGTAGGGTAGTAAAAACTATTAGAATAGTCTCCTTTTTTTTCTTCCCCATATTCTCCAAAGCAAAACTTGGAGTAAGTACTGGCAATTAAGTATCCAGCCCTAGTGAAGCTTATAAAAGATGCATTAGCGGTTTATTTTCTTTTCCAAGATCTTTGGGATATCTAATAACCAACAGAAAATATCTGCAACTTTTTAGGACTACAGCTGCACACAGGAGCCCCAGACACTGTGCCAATCTCAGATACTGCTCACAACAGCCAAACACATTCACAAATTCATACAACATGAGTGAACATGAGTGAGGAACTCATGCTTGTTTAGCTGTACTAACCCAAGGCATCAAGGTAAAATTCATCCTTATTATAGCAAGTGTGGGGGCTTTCCCCTTCCTTCCGAAGCATCAAATAAAGGTTTAATATATTCACAACAGCAGACTAACTGACCATTGAAGGCAAGCATAACAAAATGTAACTACCCTTTAATAAGCCTTATGTATAGGAGAGATAATAATAGAAGAGGAGATAACTTTTAAAATTACAAATAGCATAAGCAAGAAAGCACTAAAAGTGAAAAAGGCATTACTTTCAAAAAGCACTTGGATAAAACACAAATATGTTTCCCTTGGGAACTGGATAAGAAAAACCAAGAAATTTTGTTTTTAAAGGAAAAACAAAAAACAGACCAGGGCATAAGCCTCAGCATGGTAGCTAGGCTTTGCACTAATTAGTCACAGAGCACTGCTGAAGCTCATACCAACAATATTCTCTTATACAGAAGTTCACTCACTTTCAAATTTAAGAAACATTCTTGATTTCCCAAAGACTTTGGAAGTTACAATCTCCATTCATCCTATGCTTACAGATATACACGTTAAGCCCATATGCTTATCAGCTACAAACAGCAAGAAAGGCTGTGTCAGCACTTACTCCTGGCAACATGTGTCTGTTGGGTGACTCTCCTTCTGTTTGAAGTGTGGGCTCATGAACTAAACCAATCATTTTGGGTAGTTTTTCATCCCTTTCTCCAGAATCATCACAAATGCCGGATCTGTCCAAACCAAAAAGGAAGATATCTTTGAAGATGTAAGTGCATAGAAACCCATGAAAGTGTCTTGTGTGATTTTTGCATTGAAAACATGGCTGTTCAGATAACATTAAAAACTACCAAGTCATTCTTCCCACATACTGCTTATTAGTATCGAGCCATCTTCCTCATTTCAGGCACCTCTCAGAACATTCATCTTCTGATCATAAGGTTAATAAAACCAAGAGTGTGCTGTGGGAAACGAGGAAACATACAGCTTATAACTAATTTGGAAAGAAAAAGTGTAAAGAAAGTGTCAGAAAATTTTCTTCCTGCATCACTTATTCCAAAGTTGCAAAGTTGTGACTTTCTAAAAGAAAAAACCCAAAGCATAAAAACAAAAACACCTCAAGCAAACCCAAAACAAAAACCAAACCAATCAAACAAAAAAAAAAATCAGAAAATATTTCATAGAACACCTTTTGAAGCCTGTAATGAACTCGGCATTTTTCTCACAAACATACTCATATAACACAGGTCTGAAGAGACAAATTAGACTGTTCAGTTTTGTAGAGTCATGCTTATTTACATAGAGATATGTAAAGTGCTCTTATTGACACTGGCAGGTCATAAATCAGTTCACATTTGTCTAAAAAATAAAATCAAGGCAACTCTTTCAAAAAACCACATCATTATTATTACAATTATTCCAGCTTGTTATATTATTATTCCTGTTTCTTAATTCAAGCTGAGGACAATACAAAAATAAGCTAAGACCTCAGATACTGAGAGAAAAAGGCAAAAAAATATTTCAATCTCCACAGAGGAGGGGAAGAAAAAAGTGTCTGAACAATAACATAGCTCCATTCTATTCAAACCTTCCAAACTGTTCAAGGGCATACAGGTGCTGACTAGGCACCATCATGTGAAAAGGCTGCTATTTATGCTACCTTATGCTGGTCCCCAAGCAGATCCAGGGAGAACAAGGTCTTCCTCTCTCCTCTTCTAAGGGGCCTCAGCTACACTGCTACTATTTTAGAAAATTCACACAGGTAAGTTTTTATGCACACTCAGTCTATGCAGTTCAGACCTTTGCGTCCTTTCACTACAAGCTCAACCATTCTGGTAAGACTACAGCAGCTCTTTAGAAACTGAGTTTCTAAGAAAGAGGACACTGCTTCTCCCCAGGTGTTTCAATCGGCTGTACAGCCGCTCCTTACCGAGACTGCCCGTTGTCCTCAGAAGATGAGTGAAAGCTCTCCATCTCCTCGCTGTTCAGGCCCAGCTCAGAGCCATAGCTCTGGTGCACCAGCTGCCAGAATTCCTGCTTGGTCAGCCTCTGAAACAAAGCAAGCTAGTCAAGAACCATGGTATGGAACAGCAAGGCACTGGAGGAAAAACAGCAACAAGTTTGAATTACGCCACAGCCTTTAACCTCAATTCTGACAAAGACCGAAAGCATTCAGGTATCATGTTCCGAGATTGGGTTTCAGCATTTTGGGCAACTGTACTCCTGCCTACTCCACACTCCCATCGCCGTTCAACCAGTAACACCAGGCATAAGAAAAGTCATCATTTTAAGAAAACACACTTGTAGCCATTACTTGCTTCTTCACATGTCACCAATATTTTCACAGATACCTTCAAGGTCCCTCCATCTTACACTTCACTTGATATGGCACAAGGTAAGTAATTACCTCTTTGATTCTGAACAAACTGCTTAACAGATACCCACCTGTTTCCTGAGTATGCTCAGAGTACTTTACAAATTGTGGGAGGCTAGTATTTCAGTCACTACACTGGTGTCTAGGTCAGCCAACTGTCCACTTTGCCAAGGTGGGACAGGAGGTCCTCTCTTTGTACCACCAGCATCCTCTTTATGAAAATATAGTTGCTTTTCTTCAGGATTACCTTGACTCATAACTAAGTCTTCTCCTTCTCTACAATATATCTATCCTGTTCCACGAATTCCCACACCTACCGAGACATATTTAAGTTCTCCTAAACCGTCAGGAAAGCTTGGAGGTTAAAAATAATAGTATGGCACACTCGTATCTGCAAAGTAAGCAATGAGTTTCAAAGTCCACCTCTGCTGTAAAGGGATGCGGGGGGGGGGGGGTAAAAAAAATAGAAAGAAAGGAAATAAAAGGTTTCGGTATTTAACAGAGCTCAGAGAGCAATACTAGCAATCTTAAAACAGGAGACACCACACTGGAAAATGTGCCTTGGTCACCATCCATATTGATCAAGGGAACAGGACAGTGCTAATGAGGCAGTAACACAAGTAGTGCTTACTATTTGCATGAAATGATGACATTAAATACCTATACATTATTTAACGATCCTTTAAATGATCCTCTCCACCCGCTTGCTTCACCTGTAGAGTGTTAGTTACAGTACCGCAATTTTAGACAGGCACGGCGGAGCTGACCCGCGCTCAGGATGTAAATGCGCGCCCGCGGCCGCCGCGGCGCTGCCCGAGCTGCCGGCGCTGCCCGAGCTGCCGGCGCTGCCCGCGCCCGTCCCGCTCCGCGACCCACCTGGCACGGCCCCGCTCCCGCCGGGAGCCGCCGCGCTCCCACTTCCTGCAGGGCGGCGGCGCCGGGGCCCGGCCGGGGCCGGGGCAGCGCCTTCCTCGGCTGCCGCCGCCGGCCCGGGGCGGGACAGAGCCCGTCGCGGCCGTCGCCGCCGGGCTGGGCCCCGCGGGGGTCCCGCCGCCCCCTGGCCCCAGCTGCGGGAGCTCCGCGCCGCATCGCATCGCACGGGAGCCGCTGCCCCGAGGGCCGGGACAAACAGCCCAACTCGGGAGACGAGGAAGGGTTTTTTCCCTCGGGTATTTTCCAGCATAACACTTTTTCGGGCCTTTCAGAAAGCAGCTGGCAACAAGCACCCTATTGGCAGAGATCAGTTTCAAGGTATTTAATCCTAGCGAGGGCAAAGTAAACATTAAAACACAAAACACACAGCTATAAAGCAAGGGTCATAGCAGCTAATGCCAGCCTCCCTCTGCACGCGGATTTGTTCTACGCAGCAATGCAGTGCTGAAACATGCATCCACGTACAGCTGACCTTACTTTCCCCGTGCATTTTGTCTTCTGAAGCAATAAACTCATAACCACAAAAAACTACCTACAGCTGTTCTTATTAAATGGCCAAAAATAGGGGTGGGCATTACATGGTTTCAAAATATGACTGAGGTGAATCTTCAGCTAGCACACCTTCCAACTAAGGAATCAAATTACAGAAATAAAGCCATTTTAATTTCTGTTGCCCAAGATTGCAAATGCCCTTGATTCCCAGTCTAATGTTGCTAATTAAATTCACTGGTATGTTCTGTCTATGGGCAAATCAATTTGCCCTTTTACAGTCAGCTCAATAGTTCAAGGAAAGCAAAGAAGCTTTTCAGCTTCTGTAAAGGAATCTAAAAAGCTGTTTCCTGTTGTTTTGTAAAAGCAATCTTACCAACTTCTGCTTCTAAAACAGGATTCTTGCACTCTGCTCAATTATTCCTAGCTCAGCTAGACATAATAAGTTCTTAATGGTCACAAGCCAAGATCAAACGGGACTTGCTTTATTGTATCAGAAAGAGTCAGTTCTGAAAACAAAGAAAGGCAAAAATTTTCTGGGTCAGACTTCTGCTTCTGAGAGGATGGCTGAGAGAAGCTCTGAAGCTTGAAAGGCAAAATCTAAACGTGAATTTCTTTGCCCATTCAAGGTGACGATCTACACTGGGTTTTTCCTCAGTTCTCTTTGTATACAAAAACAAAGGCTACAAGAAGCAGCTGGGATACATTTTTGTCTTTTCAAGCAGAGCACAAATCATCAATACTTTGCTTCATGCCAGACAAAGCCATGTCATGGAACAAGAAATACTACAGAGTACCACTGACAGAAGCAAAGCTGATGATTTTTAGCCTCTATGGACAAATGCAGAAATAAGAATAAGACCTGCCATACAAATTGACAAAAAAGACAACCCTCACCATACACCACACTCCTGCCAGGCAACTTGACACAGAACTCTGACTGTTGGCAGAACAGGGGAGGGAAACAGCAAACTCTCCCTCTAATTGCCTAAAAATGAAGCTCAGAATCAAACCAAGTCTTTCATCTCTTAAATTAATCTTCTTGTACGCAAAGGTGCAAATAAGCATCTCTCTTTTCACAACCTTCCCTGAGAAACTGTTGGGGAAGGCAGAACTGCCGTCCTGGGGAGATATTTGCCACAAGAAGCCCAGCTGATCAGAAATTCTGGTCCCTTCTCACACCTCTAGACTTACCTGCTACGTCATCTCAGGAGACAGGTGCAAATCTCTACCCAGCAAAGCATAAGAAGAACAATAGGAAAATAAATCCAACTCTAAGGCAGAGGACTCATGGGAATTGAGACCGATTAAGTTAAGATCTTGTTCCATTAGAAATAAGGAGCACTGTGTTTGTTTGGGATTTGAATGACCTGCCTAATTACATTTTAATTTGTTCCTTCTCCCTTAAACTTGAGGGATATTTGACACCCATAAGGTTTAGGAAAATAAAGCAAAACTGTGAATGGCACTGCTCTTATTGTCAATAGCAGCCATGAATAAATTTCTGGTGCCAATCTGGAAAGCCTACTGCAAAACACGATTTTTGGCTGATTTTAGAAATTTAAGTATTATTGAAAGCTGCAGTGGATGTGGAAGCAGCTATCTGTTTTATCAAGACCGGTGTCATGTCTCTTCCAGACCTGCATTAATGATTCCTTATTTTCCATGATGCTGGATAATTTAAAACACAATGGCAAGCTAAAAGCCTACAAGACTCATTCTGCACACATTTTGCAACAGGAATGGAAAAAAAAGTTGAATTTTCCTTCAAAGAAAAAAAGTATTTGCATGGACATTTAAAGAATAAAAAGCTAAAGAAAGACCCATGTTAAGAGGAACGTACCCACTGATTTGCAGAGGAATTAAAGTTGAAGGGCACCAAACACACCATAGTGTTTTCTGAGTGGGTCTGAAGAAGTCATGAGCTACAGAATTGTAACTGAGCTAAAGGGGACTAGGAATCCTGTCAGAGCAGTGGTGCAAAGCTGGGGGAAAGCATCTTGATGGACGAAGTAAGTTTGGGCACAGAATAGCATGCAACTGGCTTTCTTGCACAGTGCAAGTCACTTCTAACAGAAAGGCAGACTTGTCAAAGGACTACTTGCTCAGCCACCTAGGACATGCAATACTTGGTAAGTACAAGGAAGAACGGCCACCAGATGGAGATCTGGGAAAGGGTATGAGGCTGACCCCACAGACAGCTTCTGCAGGTGGTGAAAGCCTAAGGTGTATCAGGTAAAGCAGATGGGTCACTCCTCAGAGGTGAGACTTCATAGCACAAAATCTATGCCCAGAAGTGCTGAAGAGGCCAGGGACTGAAAACTACCTCTGCACTGATATTATCTGAAGCAAATGTAATTCCAGTCCCCTGGATCCAAATCCTGAAAATTGGGGATTATTCACCGTCAGGTGGTGCAAACCAGCACTGTGACACGTATAGTCAGAGTTGTACTTCTGATAACAACTCTATTTCATAATTTAACAGCTGGATGTCATCTCCAGGTCTAGCAGATGTGCTCCAGAATATAAACAAGCTATCCACAGGCATGAAAACATTTAGCTATTTGGAGGGAAACATTAAAACCAGCTCTTTTTGGAAGTGGTTCCAGAGTGAGATTTGTTTTTTGTCAAAAGCCTTACAAATTCTGATGGCATCCCTCTGATCACTGAAGCCAGGAACACCAAACTGCACATACTCAGGCACTCCATACCATGGCAGGGCCTCAGGTATATGAGACATTTTCCAAATATATGCTGTTCCTGACATTGGAGTGGTGGGCAGAAAACAGCAAAACTTATTGAAAACACCAAGGGATCTCTTTTAGTATTAGTTCAGTAGACAGCTGCCATTCTAGTAGTGTCAGTGGATCCAGCTCCAGCAACTTCAGTTTCTACTTTCAACTCCACAATGCCCCTCTATAGCTTTATCTAGTAAAGAATATTCTAAAGAAGGCTGACAGGTGACTCAAACACATTCTAGCAGAGAATGAGAAGTCATAACTACGTTTCAGAAGTAGGAGCTCAACCTAACAGAAATCCTGTTTAAATAGTTCCAAAGATACTACATTAAAAGGCCCTACATACACCTCATGACCATGCTCCATTTTACAACTGAGAACTCCAAGCAGAAATTCTCATAAACAGGTTTATCTTTTAACATATTGCAGTGAGGATGAAAGCAAGCTAACAGCAAGATTTCATAGAAATAATAAGGATAGTTCCCAAGCTACTCTAATGCACTGGTTCCTGAGACCTGCTGGCTTAATTCATCTCATCTTTAATGCAGTCCATGCCTCCTGCTTTCTTATCTATCCTTTAGCAACGGCTCTAAAGTGAAAAATTGATCCTAATGTGACACTCATTTCAGCGTCACAGAGAAGAAACACACAAGAAAAACTAATACTGAACAGTACAAAGCTTGTTACCTCTGTTCCAGCCCTAGGATAGGTTTGTATACCTGAATGTCCATACATTAACCCTCCAGCACCACAAACTAATCAGCTGAATGACATAAGTGCCATTTCTGACAAACTTGGCACAATGAAAGAAAGCAAGGTTACTTCCAGTTGCATATTGCAGTCAACAGGTGACAAAGTACATTGTGGCTGGATTCAAGACAAGATGGTTATGAAGTTACAATTAAATAGTATTTGATTTGAGGGACAAGACATTTGCAAGAAACATTGGTCTTACCTCAACTAGCACTTCTTATTTTCAGCAGGTTTTTTTGATAAACAGTGCCTCTAGTCTGCCCTAAAATTCATCCAACAAAAAGAAAAAAGTGTAGCTACTATGTGTAAGTAGTACAACAGCTTTAAACCTTTGGGAATCGTTGCAGGGTTATACATGGATATTTCAGTGTGTAATTGCAAGTGAATTGAAATATTTAAACAATGAGAGACACAAACAGGAAGAAACTGGTTTACAGAAATTGTCTTTCTTACAGTGATGTTCTGCAAAAGTGTCAGTCTATTTTTAGAAAGATCTGCTTAAGTATCCACACATTGCAATATAAATCGAGCTAACTAGCTGAAGTTGCCAAAATACACTTCCATATCATACAGTCTGCATTTATTGCATTTATTCAAGGTCAGCAGAGTTGTAATGAGTTGGCTGGCAAAGGTTCAGCTAATTTATCTGAGGAGGAGTTTTGGCCTTTTTCCTTGGGAGTTTTCACTGAGAAAACCTTTTGCCTTTTTGATCACAAATTAGGCATAGAAAATGTGAAGCAAATGCATATCAATTTAGTAACATATGCTTGAGCTCATAGTGAAGAGAAACATCCAACCTATGTGCAAAGACAAAATGCGCCTTCAACAGCAGAGTTGTAGGTGGCAGTCTGAGAAGGAAAAAATAAGAATTCGTCTGTGATCTAAAGTACAGGGAACCAAAGCAGAACATCAGATTAGAATTCTAAGTCAGAAAGCAAAAGCTAACTTCTAGTCTCTTATTCTCCAGAAGCACATATGTCTACATTAGAAAAAGTTTATTTGGCTGCTTAACCACAGGTGCTGTTGCAGACAAGCTTACCTTATCCAGCAACACGTTCTGCCACAAACGGAAGATGCTGAGGTAGCTTCTGTCTCTTGCACTGAATGACGTGAAGAAAAACTGCAGATAAAAAAGATAAAACATAAGCTCACATGTAGCTATTCTCAGGAATCTCAGAATGCTTCCCTGTATCTTGAATATCCCAAGGTCATCAGTAACAGCTTGCCTCATTTCACATTCAACAAACCTGGGGTCATATTCCTCAGGTTCCACAGTTTGCATCACTTTCAGTGAGTATTCTCCCCAATGTCCACACAGTATACGAAGACACTTGTTGTTCTGGCTATGTGACTACCCTTGGCATAAAGGAAGAGCTCCTCCTCAACTCACACACACTTAAACTTTTCCCATAGGAGGTTGAACAAATCAGAAACACATATGCCTGTTTTTTACAGGCCACAGCTGTTTCCATTCTTCTGCCACATAAGCCTTTCACTAACATTTTCACACAAGATTATGTGAAATTAAAATAATTAAAATAGGAGATCAAATTATGTGCATAGTTTCAAGTATTAATCTTTCCCATTGGAACGCTGGGGTCTTTTTAGCAAAGAGGTCTACCTTCCTTGTCAATGAAAGTTAATACTGGATGAATTGAGAGGGAACAGCCAAATACGACGAATCACAGTTGCTTCCCAAAGACCAGCTCCAGGTTCACTGTGGAAAGGTCTGTTCTTTGACAAGAATTATTATTTTCAAGGCATTTATAGAAGAACTAATCACAAAGTATATTGCACATAAGACTCTGCATCATGTTTTTCAGTTTTTTCAAATACACACTCAAAAAACTTTATTCCCCAGCACATGTTCTGGGGTAAATTTCTCTATTACCCAAAACCCATGACATCCCAGTCCTTTTGTTTTCAAGGAGTACTTGAAATCCAGTGACTTTGATATTTTCGAGTATGAAGAATGCATATTCTGAATTCATGCTTTGAATTAGTTTTCCTTTGAATAGGTAAAACAAACTATTACTCTCTGGTTACTGTATCAACACCACTAATGGATTCTGCAGTCAAACTGGAGTGGAATTATCAAGCAAACATGCACAGAGACCAAACCTAAGTCTGCCTTCTAATCCCAATGACATTTTAAAATGTGACAGGGAAGTTACTTATGAAAATATAGACTAGAACAAGTGCTGTGTTCAGGACTCTATCATTTATCAAGAACAAGTGCTGTGTTCAGGACTCTATCATTTATCAAGAATGCATTTGAAAACAGATTTTCACCTTCTCTCCTTTTGTTGCTATTTGTATGGCATTTGGAATGAGACGAGCAGTCTTCTCCTTTGTCATGAAAGTGATATCCTTCAAAGCAATAGAAATCTAAGCAGAAACATATTTAATAAGACGTATTAAAAATAACTTATGACTAAAAAGTTAGAAGTTACAGAACATGCAAGAAGAATTCTAACCCCAGACCCTGGGATGCAGTTCAGATGAGATCATAAAGGCAAGTACTGTCTCCACTTGCTGCTTTAACAGCAAGCATTTCAAAGTAGAAGTGAGGTGACTTAAGTAATCTCCTCTTCTTTCACATTAGTACTAGGGAAGTAAGTGTTCTTTCTGCTTTTCTTCCACTCTTCCAGCCATAATCCCAACCAAACACAAATCACAGATGTGAAAGTCATTCCTAATCAGAATGCTGGGATTTATGTATTATCAGAAATACATAAAGCAGGACATAGATGAGAGAGATCAGATAATAGACTGTGTTATCTCACAGAAGTTTATAATATTGTCCATTTTCAAAATTTTATTTGCAGTCTAGTCACTGCAAAAAATTCTTCCTGCCTAGGCATGTTTGACTTGTATATTAGTAGCTGAAATGTTTCTGTTTAGAATAACATGGTCTGACTGACTGCAAGAAGCTACTTCCTTCCAGCCTACCCCCTCTTCTCTTGAATATAAGGCTGTGTTGCCATTCAGCTTAGAGAAAAGAGGAACATACAGCTCTAACTTGTTTTTTCTTGTGTGAGCAGGAAGTTCTCTACTTACTCCCTCTCTCTTTGCAACATAGCCTGCTAATGAGGTCCCAAACTTGGCTCTACCACTGTAGCTGATGAGCTCAGATTGCCTGAAGGTATTGCTGAAGATATCACCCTGCTAGACAGGCATAAACAGGTTACCAGGATGTATGCCGTTTTGGATTAAAAAAAAAAAACAATCAGTCTTTGAACAGCTTATATATTCAAGGGTATCATTCCAAGGAGTTTATTTTTTAATTAATTTCACATCTAAAATAAGAAATATTCAATCATCAAATCCATCTGACAAAAGTAAGCTTGGTTTTCAGTTGAGTATTTCTACACCCCTCACGGTCTTAAATACAGAAGCTATTTGTTGTTTGTCCTGTCTATTTCAGCGCACTCAAATGTGAGATACTGACTTAAGTTATGAGCAGTCTCATAGTTCACAGAACATTTTGACATGCTCATCCTCTGTTTGCTATGTTATCTTCCCCTTCTTATTTGCTGCTTCATGCAAGTTCTACAGCAGATGCAACAACTGTTTGAATGAATAAATTTGAACTCATTAACCTAATCTGACAGAAATAAAAGGCCAACATATCACAAATACCTACCTTTGCTGGTACTGTTCAAAAGCCACAGACCACAATATGAGAACTTGCAGAAGTCACTTATCAATTCCCTTCAGCCATTCTTAGATGCTGATATTTACATGTAAGGCTAAATCAAGTAAGGTTCAATGCTGTAGAGTTCTTGAACAGGGCAACACCACATACCATGTCATGTCCCAGGACTTACAGTAGGAGGTTACGTGCTACATTCCTTTATAGGACAACTTTGCATGGTAAGGAAAGGCAAATTGTCATCCAGAAATGTAAAAAGCCAGCTTTAGCATAATTCCTACACTTCTTATGCTGAATGACAGACTGAACAGGCTTACTTCAGCATTCAGATGCCTCTACTGCTGCTACTCTTATTTTACATAATGGATTTGAATTTCCTCTTGGGGATACAGGCTTTTTCTTCACAGCCCAGAGTTACTAGTATGAGATTGACAGGATGAGATCAGAGAGACTCTAATCCTATAACCTGATAGGATAGAACAAGGAAAAGGTGGAATTCAAATGAGCTAAGAGATCTTACTGTGGTCTCCCATCGGAAAATGTTGCTGTGGAAGCAGAGCCAGTTTTCAGAGAGATACAAGCGTCCTTGCAGCAGGATATCCCTCTGGAGCGCACAGGCGTAATCTGTGTACAGAGAGCAAGAGTCACCCACTGACTGCAGCACAGCTGACCCAACCCTGTTAACTAAAATGAGATGGGGTATTACAATACAATAAAAAGCAATTTCTTTCACTTTTAAAAAGTCTACAGAGGCAGACTTGTACCGGCTTGCACCCAAGACCATTGTTCTGGGAATAGTCCAAAGCCAGAGCTGATAGTACATCCATGTAAGGACAGCATTCTGTCTATCGGCCCCTGTGCATTATCTTAGCTTTTCAGAGAAGAGGTGTCAGGCAAGACCAGGAGTACATGGGAGAAGTATTCATTAGCCAAACTTCAAAGCATCTAAACAACAGAACACAAAACCACTTTATAGTACAACAGATTAATTATACTGTCAACTCCTACATAACAGTAGTTCATGTGTTGTTACAAGATAATGGTTTTCTACTAAACAGATCCTATCACTAGCTAAAACTATCTGCAGAGTGAGACACTAACAGGCAGATTGAAGCTATCCAGTTCTTGAGGCAGGGGGTATTTCCTGAGGTTGACTATCATTTTTATGATTCTGTCTCTGACTGAAACACCCCTATGGAGAAACAGATTTCATCTACTATGTAATTATTAGATACCTGCTATTTATACCTACCCATTATTAGATACCTGCTAATTAAGAACAAGAGCAGAGGATTTAGTTGCATTTCTTAAAAGTCTCAGCTTTCCCAGTTTCAGAGCCTGAAGAATCATACAGAAGGAATTTCAGAAGTACTGCTGCTAGATAATTAAGATGGACCACTTTTGAGAGCTCCAACCTAAAGAAGGCTACCTAATGTGTAGAAAATATGCAGAATGTGTGTGTTGATTCAATATATATTAGTGATTTTACCCTTAGAAGTACCTAATAGCTTTATACATAGTATTGTCTGAGCCAGAATTTTGATCTTGTGTACTACAAGAACATAATAAATACAGTTCTTGTTCAAATATCAAGAAGTTCAGGTGTCCCCAGCATCCTAACTTCAAACTAAATCTGCATTTACAGAAGCTTTTGTTATGATTTTTAAAATTCTCTAGCGTTTTCCTCCTCAAATGATCAACTGGAAATAAATTTTCTTGTAACAAGAATGAGGCATGTATACAAGCCCTTGGAGATGTAACTACATGTAGAACTAGAGAAGCTTAAATTGAAAGAACTAAGTACATGTTTAAGAACAGTCAGATACCAAAATGCTGACAGAGGAAAGCAACAGGAGTTTGACATTAAGGACTTGAGGAAAGCATGACTAAGAAGCTTCCATCTGACTTGTGTTTTTTAGGAGGGATTTAGACCTATAAAGGTCATCACTGGGCAACTGATGAGCAACTCCACGCTGATCTACCTACACAAAAGAGAATATCAAAACAAACAGAAGAGAATAGCATTTCTCCTTTTAAGTTTTCAGAACCTGTAACTTAATATGCTGCTTGAAAACAACATTTTCAGGCAAGTTATAATAGCACTCCTTTAAGCACCCATTTAGACAGTCTAAGTAATTCCTTTACTTTTAATAATATTTTATATAATCTTTATATACAGTGCTCATTATACTGGAATAGCTGCTTATTTTAACAGCTGTTTTAAAGACAGAAGCAGCAACAATTCTTTTAATGTACAGCAGCAAGCAATTGCTTCTTGGAGCACTGTAAAGCCTGTACCAAATTTCTCTACACCAAGCAAAGGAAGAGCTCCTTGCTTGGAGGATGCAAAAAGTCCTTTCAAGGAAACACTGCTTTTTATGGGGTAAAAAAAAAAATATATGAAAGTAGTGGCTTTGCTTCTGATGGAACAGATTGAGATTAACCCATTACTAAATCTTTCTCTAAATCCTATGCAGTCTCTTTGAAACTCTGCTTCAGAGTTTGCTCCATGGCTTTCTGCATCAATCCAGCGTAAAGAGAAACATCAAAACAATGCTTTGAAGTAATATCCTTTCCGTCTGTTTTACGTCCCTACTGAAGTATTTTAAAAATGTATAAGGCGTTTCAGAGGATAACTGCCTCCTGAGGCTGGGAAAAGACACAGGGATTTAACTGCTTCAGAGCTGCTGCTTTGCATACTGCAAGCATACACTAAACAGCCTCTCAATATTAATTTCCTTGAAAGTTGCTGTCCTAGGTTGACTGTATGATGCCTTTATCCCCAATAGTCTGCCATGTTTATGTTGAATAATAAGTTCTACACCTTTAAGACTTGTTCCAGGAGTGAAGGGGGGGGTGGGGGTGAAGAAGCGCGGAGTTTGTTTTTCAGGAACTGCACTCCCTCCTCCACATTCCTGCTCCTGGACTGTGTTGTCTGCAGACAGACAGACAGCGAGGTAGAGCTCTCCTTTGCTTTTTCTAGTTAGTTTTAGCTAGCTGAGGCAAGGAAGTTCCCTGGACTGTGTTTTTTCCCTTTCTCTGGACCTGCTCTGGCCTGAACACCAGAAGAGCAGCAGCAGCAGCACCTGTGGCCCAGCAGGCCGGGCCTGGGCCGCGGCATTTCCAGAGCCAGAGGGACTGAGCAGAGACTGAGTGAGCCCAGCTGCAACCCAGGGGATTTTTCTGCGTTTGTCTCTCTCTTGGAGTGGCAAGAAGTTTTGTTGTTTAATATTGTCTAAGATTGCTTGTTTAATAAACAGTTTTTTTCCACTTTCCTCCAAAGAGGCATCCTTCCTGAACTGGTTGGGGGGAGGGGCTAATTGAGTCTGCTTTCCTAAAGGAACCCTTTTGGGGTTCTTTCCCCAAATTTGCCCTGAACCAGGACAGTTGCATTAAAAGAGAAATGAACTTTTAACAGTCACAATGCCACTTTTGTATGAAAATATACAGTGTATTTGTTACATAAATACAACACAGGCAGGTGATAAAGGAGGGAATAAGGTGCATCACTATGCAAAGGAGATTGGGTTACATGCTTGCCTTCTTTGAATTCTGCACTGGCAAGAAACAGAGATGGAAAAGGAATATTTCAGTGCTGAGAAAAGTTATGCATCATAGTTTGATATTCTCTGACACGTGCTTCTTTCCTCTCCCATTTATCTGAAAAACAGTGTTTTAAATTACAACCACCCACATGTCACTCAGTCCCAGGAGTCACATTAATCAAGGTGCCTTGGGCAAGGGTATTAGTTCCAGGAAGCAAGGGGGAAGTTTTTGCTAAGGATGATCTACCTAGTTAACAGGGTCTCAGAAACAAAATCCCTTTTTCTTCTTTTTTTTTTCCCCAAAAAAGCAGGCAGTAGAGGAGAGTATGGACCTGGCTTTCCTTGAAGCTATCTCATGCTAGTTCAAAGACAGTAGAATAGGGAGTGATTACCTGTAGTCAGAATTTGCCATAAAAAACACAAAATGCTTTGACATGACTGTAATCTGAAGTCACCAAACAGAAGACAAGGACTTTTGCTGTGATTACTTCTTACCTACTATGAGTCTCTCAGAGTCTGGCAGATGAGAAAACTGTCTCTTGAATTCCTCACTCCTATATTTGTAAGTGGAACTTGAGAGCTGCAACAAAGAACAGTAAAAGGTTATGCAAACAGATTTATTTTCAGCCATCAACTGTCTTCATACTGAATGTGTAATTTTATCTTGAAGAACAAATGAACTTCAGAAGAGCAATAAAGAATAGGTGGTATCTAAATGTGATCATCACTGTAACTTTATGCTTACTTATGTAAGAGTATTTATTTGGCATGGGCCAAACTATTCCCTGTATCAAGCCAGATGCCAGTCACAAGACATTACAGTGCTATGACAGCAACCTGCTCCACCCCTAAGGTGATGAAAGCCCTTCTGGGACTAAATATTCTAGCACAGAGTAAGTGAAAAGACAGCACGGCCACAACACGGAGGTGACAGGAAAAAAAAAAAAAAAATCAAGCCTTCACGGAGGCCAATAGAACACAAGGACACAACAGAGAACATCAGTGTCTGCTTGGAGTACCACTTCAGGAATACTACAATGCACTGTATTTTTCAACAGTTGCTGTAACTAGACCTGTAGGAATAAAGGTAATAGTTTCCTCCAGTAAGAATGGATAGCATCATCACCACCACTTCTTGATTTTCTGTCATGTTCTGTTGGAATCCTGGATGCTAAGAATTTTAAACTTTCTGTGCTTAAAGGCACAGACCCTCAAGAGAACACTGCATTTGACCTGAGGTCGTGGAACAGGTTTTTGAAATTGATTAATAGCACTGGGATTACACGTGTGTAGTTGGTTAGAAGCATGTAATATCACAGGGGGGAAAACTTAGAGTTTGGGATTTTAGAATATAGAAATAAATCTTAAGCAAGATGGAGGTTTTAGGGCAGAGGCAGGTTGTTCTTTACCTCCTTCTTCCTTCTTCTTCATGGCTTTGGGTGATGTTTTGTGATTGGACAGAAAGGTCTGCATTGCAGACTATGAGAGATCAGTTATTGGGTTAAAAGGGAAAATAATCTAGGTGTCATTTCTTAACTGGGCAGTTTAGTTTTAGTTCAACCTTAAAAGACCTTGAAACTATACATCGGAGCCATTTTGTTTCTTGCAATGAAAAGCTGCCAAACTCGAGGTTGTGAGACTGTAACATAGATAAGAAATAATAAACACCTGAGTCCGAATGTGGAATGCCGTCTCAAGTGCCTTCAATCCCGACCTCGAGAAATCAATAATGTTCTACAGTTCACCTCATTAAAAAAAAAAAAAAATCACTGTCTATGATTTTTGTAAGATGCAAATTGGGTAGTAAACCCACAGCAAAGAGGACTATCTCAATGGACTTTAACTCCTTACTTTTATAAACAAATGTTCCTGTTCCCATTCAAATGAAGAGCTTTAGCACATTCACCAGGAAATATTCTGTATAGAAGTCCTGCTTCTCATTTTCAGTTATAAGAGGATCATATTGTTTTTCTTAACAGATATTGGACACTTATTTTAGAAGCAGTCTTAATTAAATGCTGTATAAGGCCATGACTCAACTGGACTAAAGCTATTACAGGAAGAAATCACTTTTAAGTGTTCCTAGAACCAGGTATAAATATACTACAAAAGCCTTTTTCACACTTTTTTTTAAACTTTTCTAAAGATCTTAAGAACATGGATGCTATTCTCTACTTGACCATCTGTATTACTCCAAAACTTGACATTTACCATTAAACCCATCTCCACCATAAGATTAGTTGCTATTTATATTTAGGGTGGGGGAAGAAGGAAGAAAGGAGGCAAAGAACCACTTTTGACTGTATGACCTTGCAGCATGCTCACTCTTGACACATTCCTGCAGCATGTTAGTTGGCCACTACCCTTTCACTATGTTTGTGCTTATCCAAAAAAATCCCAGGACACAATCAGATTTATCTTCAGCTTGATGGCCTTTCTATGAACTAGAGCAAATACAGTGCTCCCACCACCTCAAGATTCCCATATTTTGCTCTTTTTCACTGAGGACATTCCTGCTTCTTGCAGTTCAAATGTTCCCTGAACACCACTCAACACTTAGATCCTACAATGGTCTGGCATCTTATACTTGAGAACTGAGCTCTTAGGCCTCAAGAACACAAGTGCAATCTCAAAGTCAAGTGTTTAAGTGCATGTAGCACATGAGAGAGCAAAGTTGCCCTGACACAGATCAGCTTTTAAAGAATAAGTCAATTTACCTTCTACTACCATGAATAAAAGAAAGTCTATGTTTGACTTCTGTTTCAGTACATATTTGCTGTCCACTGATATTCTGAGCATTGTAATGCAAAAAGGCAGCAAGGGACAGAGACAGAAAATACATCCACCCCTCCCCTTCTGAGAAAAGTAAACATGAAAGCTTTAGGTGTAGCTGAAGAGGAACATGTTAGACATGTCTCCTCTAAACTGTAATGCCTCCAGTTATATTTCTGTTATTTCTGTGATTATAAAAACATTCTTGAAAAGCACCTAATCTGCTGAAGTAGGTGGGCTATGGTTTCCTGTCTTGCAACATCCTGCCCTAAAATGCACACTTTTAATTGATCATCCAAAAAAGGCATCCAATATCTGCACTTCTTTGAAGAAACTGAGTTGTTCGCAATTACTCTGGAAAGAGATACAGGGAACAATGAAAAATTAACTCACACCTGTCAAGCTTCCACCTGTAGCTCCAGAGTCCCTATGGTTTACACACAGTCCTACCTCAGCTGACTGAAATCTGGGCTTGTGTTGCCAATGCCAGCATATAGGGAATAAAAGAACTGGTCTGCCATGAGAGGAAAATGAAAGTCACAGTCTGTGAAATCATGATTTAGGAAGCAATATTTTTAGGAGAAATGTAGTTTCTCCAATATGAGGTATACAAGACTTAAGAGCTACGCTTAAGTTCAGCATTTTTGTGGTTGTAAGACAAAAGGAATTAAAGAAAATAGGAGCATCACAAGGTTACAGATACATTTATAACGGTGCTTGAATCAGCCAATTCAACAGCTCCAAGAATCCAGACTCAGGACACTGAGTTTTACTTAGAACTGAAAATTTTCTAGAGCATAAAACTTGCTACAGCTTGTCTTAGAAACCCTTGCTGGCATTTAGAAGTGTTGTCATGAGTGACTGTACTACAATAAATCCTTATTAATTGTAGATTTCTACTGAGCTCTTAGGACACTTATGCAGAATCTGCTCTGAATCCTTATCTAATCAGCAGAAAAATGTAAGCACATTGAAACTTATCTTTTCCCTACTTTGCATGAAAATTAGCTCACTTAAATATGCACTTTTACCTACTTTTTACCACCAAGGTGGCTTGGTGATTGAGAAGAGATCCTTCAACAGACTTGGGAAACAAAAGGGGCAATTTTAACACTATTGGCAATTTCAACTTCCTCAAACTGAAGAAAATAAGACATTTCTATTAATAGATCATCTCTTCTAATCACTACTATAATGCCCAACATATGGCAGCATTTCAAGCAGGTTGTCACCTCCGAGTTACAAAATCTAGCACCAAATATTAAAAGAGGAAAGGCATAAAACAGGTTGTAGCAGGGCACTCACAAGATGAAAACAGAAACTTGCTTTTAATACATACAAATTTCTAAGTTTAATTACAAGTCAACAGGCAAACACTTGGCCTGAGGATAATCTTAGGCATTTACGGTTATGCTATATTTAATCACCAAAGAAATT